ATAAAGTGGGACAGAAAGTTCTTAAGTTGAAATATTCGTTATCGTATCGGCACCAGAAAACAGAGTTGCGAAGTTTGAGCCCAGGTTTGAAGGGCCGTACACGGTGGAAAAAATAAGAGAAGCCACGTTTTATTTAAAGGCCGAAAATGGCCAACAACTGGGGGCAAATATCGATCAGTTAAAACCTTTTAAATCGATAAGTTAAAACTCTTTTAAAGCCGCACTGACTTTAAAATATTGCAGGATTTATTACAGGATTCTGGAAGTAAGGAGAGAAGCCCGCCAGCTCAGGAGTACAGCTCGAGTTCCCCAACACAAAAAAGAAAGCAGAGCCAACAAACTTCGACCGGGGAAACCCATACCACTAAGGCTACAAGCGCACAAAAAAGGAGGAAATTAGCACCGACAGATCAACGAGTCAGAACCCAGGATGCTGCAAAAACTCAAGTGCCATCGACCACACGAGGAAGGCCTGCTGACAAGGTTCCAAGAAAGGAGAAAATTCAACGATGAATTAAAAGTAGACGTAAACCACAGTTTCCAACATCAACAACTACAAGGCAGACCCAAGGAGGACCAGCGTGGAGACCGAAAAGCTAGAAAAGACCTGTAGACACAACCGTGCCGGAGCAACAAGTTAGAAGGGCCAAGAGAAGATTCAAAGACCCTGAAGGACGGAGAGCCCCACCGGAGTCAAAAAGGAAATTGGCATTCCAGAATCCACAACCTGCCCGGAAGAGTCCCCGATTCCTACATAAAGGACAGAAAAGAAAAGCACTGGAACTGAATGGAGCGGAACATCGAACATCGAGAAGAGTGGAGGTTATCAGGTTTTCTACATTTGATGAATTCTGTAAAGACAGGATGCAGGAGTACAGAAAAAGATAAGTGAAAATTTCTTTGCTAATTTTTCTTTTGAAGTTCAAATTATATCATATTGTTATAAGTTGCTAAAGCTGTTTAGAAAATTTAAATCGCAGATAGCGATATTTTGTAAATGTTCGTAAGCATAGATTTTTATGTTAGTAATTTAGCGAGAAGCTACTAGCGTTAAATACTTTTTGTTAAGAACTCGCAAGTTGCGAGAAGTAAGTTCTGAATAAGTTTAGTCGGAAGACTATTGGAATACTATAATATGTTAACGTAAAGTTAAAATTTCGTGTAAATTTTGGTAAAGTGTAATTAAGCAACTATGACTGTTGATGTAAAATGTATTCAAAAGTAATGTGTAAATATTTAAATGTTCATGTTCATGTAGAAATGTTTGATCTTTGTGGGAAATATCGTAAAGATTAAAAGGACATAGAAAATAAATTTTTATTTCTGTGTATGGAGTACGGTACGGAGAATGCAATATTGATATATATGTGTTTAATGTTAGGCTCTCCAGTTAACACTTTTAAAAGTAAAATATAAGCTTTTGCTTACTACAATAGGAAACAGTTTTTCGTGTAGGGAGTCTTGGCAGGTCTAGTGTGTCAATTTTAAAACAAATTAGGTTTTGTGTAGCGGTAGTTGTTCGCGGAAACACAACATAGAAGACCATAAGTACATTTTGCTGGAGATATGGGTAAATAAATCTGTAGATGAATGAAAGTGCATAAGGGCCAAATAATGAATTAAAAGCGTAAAGCTAGGATTTAAAAGTCAAGTTTTGTAAAAATGCATTACTAATGACATTTCCTTCCAGATATGGAAGGATCAAGACCTGAAATAAGTCTAGCTGAATAAAGAGTATGTAGGAAAGATGTATGTCAAGATATAATGTCCAGAAAGAATTCATTGTAAATTTTTATTTTCCTAGCTTTTAGTCTAGCTTTTAGAATTGTTGTAAAGTTGGCCCTAGAAACGAAACTTTAAAGTCATTTAGTTAATGTAAAAGTTGGAAGAGTGTAATTAATGTAAGTTTCAGACTGTAAAGTCTTAAACAAGGTCGTTTTGAAACCTTATTTTTCGAGTATTTAAAGTCTGGTCGGAAGCTATGTAAGGATTATGTTAATTTTATTAACAGTTAAATTTTAAGTTCCTTTCCTGTCAAATTCTTAACTTAAACTTACTACTTCCGGCCAGAACGTAGTTTTGGAATTTGCTGAATATTTAATGAGAAGAAGCGGTATTTAAACCACGAAGTTACTTACCGAGACAGAGAGAGAAACAGAGTTTCTGAACTACGCGCGTCTGCCTTTTTGGTCGCTCTCTCTCTCAAAGTTGTTATACGCTCGGCCGTACTCAGGCCCTTGCTAAGCTTCGTAGTAAAATAGGTTAAGGGGCCAACTCTCATTGTACCTTAATAGCTGTGGCTATACTTAGTTAATCTTAGTTTTAGTTTAATTCTTAGTCTTTTAAGTTCAAGTCAAGTGCGGACTTTATTTGTTCACTCCCAGGCGGAGTTTTGTGAAATCTTATAGAAATAATAAAGGGTTATTTACCCTTCTCTCTTGTTGTTTCCTGTCTTCGAACTCTAGCGATTATTCGCTTATCAGTCCTAGGTTCCTCACTTCCAACATTAACTTAGAATTTCAAGTGAGGGACCTTACATGTTAATCAAAATGTTTTTAAAGTTTTACAAAATATAAAACAGACAATAAAACAAATTCCAGATTCCAAACTCGAGCTTTCAGGTGTCCATGTTAGGGTGGAGGACTATGCTATTAAAAATTTGATGACTCTAGGTACCGTTGTTTTCTTACAGTGCGAGAAAAATACAGACATTCATGCACATTTATCATTATTTAGTTTTTTTAAATAAAATAGAGGGCGACAATATTGGGTGGCAACAATTTGAAAAGTGATATATTGCATTTAAGTTATTCAACGCAAAATGCCGATTCGAGAATAGTAGCCCTTCTGGGCTAACGTCTCTTTGAGCTGATAATACTTGGTGTTGCCAGCTGATAAAATTAAATCTTAACTTTTAAATAATAAGGAAACCTAACTAAAAAAATCTGATGTGTACACCACATGACTTCCTTGTACGGAATATTAAATTATACGCATTTTTTCTTGCATTTCATTTAAACTTATTGATTGAGAATTAGATCTACTTCGTCAATAGCGCAAAATAAATGCACTGTTTTAAACATTCAGTATGTTTGGTTTAACCATAGCGACACTCTGGCGCTAGGTTCACTTAACAGCGTTATATTTCGTTCATATTATAACTCAGAATGCACAAAATTTATATCATTTAAGAATTATCTAATCGTTGCCACACATGTTCTATTCAAATACTATAATAAAGCTAGAACGATGTATAAAGGAAATTAAGCAAAAACAAAAAAGAAACAGTTTTTCACAGACGATTGAGTACTTCTCATTTAATTATTTCAGTTCTCACTTCGCGACAAAGCAAAAATACATTAAAATTCAAGATGTCTGCATTGAAAATTATGAAGTAAGTCTTAAACATTTATTTCCTCGAATAAATTCCAGAATAGATCGCATGATTAAATTCGCAATAATAAAAGAGGCGTTATCTTTGTTATTGCAAAGCCTACTTTCTCTACATTGGCCACAAATCTACTATTCTGTTGCTTCAAATGTAAACAAGCAATGGCTGCCATGGAAAAAATTATTAGGTCTTAGCGGCACTTAAAACACACTTTTAAAATTTTTGATAATTCTAAAAATATTGGCAGACAGATTTACTAAAGGCATAAAAACCTTAACCGGAAGATAAAAGAACATAATTCAATCATTTTTAAAGCAAAAATATACAATTTACAAAACATATAAAAGTAAAGAAACTGAGATCACTGAGCCGGTTAACAGAGTGAATATATATATAAATATATTTATATAGGTTTGGCGCGGCCGATTGCAACCAAAGTACGAGGTGCACATCTACATGTTATAGTAGTCCTATATACAAAATTTACAGACACCACGAAAAATTCTCTTCAGAATTTATTTTAAAGCAGTTTTATAATTTTTTTGGAAGAACCGAGTCTTTTATTCTGTCCTTACGTACAGATATCACGCAAAAACATCGTTAAATTGCATTCGAAAGCGGTCAAAGTGGATATTTTTGTTGAAATATGCTGCCTGAAACTTTTCGAGATTACAATACTTCGTTTGTACTTCGTACAAGGAAGTAAAAAAAGGGAATTTGAAAACTCTGAAGTTTGTTTTTGCATTTCTGTTTTCAGAGTAAAATAGTATTAGTAGGAAAAGATTCAAATTTACTTATTGAAATAAAATAGCAATGAAATATGTAGAAATTAGAATGTGTTTGGCTCTACAAAATTTCATCATTACCATACGGGTTTATTTTTAATGTAGACTATAATGTACAAAAGAATTAGAACTGGCAATTTTTCAACCGAAATACTATGTAGTGCTAGAAATGCGTTTTATTTACTATACTAATATTATAAAACAATATTTTTTACAAATTGTTATTAAGAAGGAAGCTTTATAAATTTCCCTTTTTCTGAAGTATACTTTATACTCCTTAAAGGGGAAAAAAAAAAAAATGCACACTATGTTGCAATTCTAAACTTCTAAAATTCAGATGAGTTATTCAAGGAGACAGAAACTACTTTTTTGAAGTTTCGGTTCATATTTATACGTTACAAGCTCTTAATTTCAAAAGTTAAAACTGTCAGAACCCTGTGAAAGGCCATCAGAAAATGTAAAAAAATAATAATAATAATAAACAAAACGATAAATAATATATAGTTAAAATATTAAATAAAAAGCAAATTACCGTTTTTCTTCGCGCATTTTTCAATTGACAGTTTAGCTCTAAGTTCTAAAATTTTTTCAAATATTAGAATAATTTTCCCTACCTTCAATGGTACAGAATGTTTCACTCTGAGGGCTAGTTTATTGATGAATTCTATAGCCTTGTTATTTTTTTTCACTTTTATTAGGTGTATTCAATTTATATTTACATTTTTTGTATTAGCATTTCATTCACTTCATTTCTCCTGTGAGTTATTATTTAAAAAGTATTTTTCGTAGATTCTTCATGTGGCAGGTGTTCTCACGCTTCAGAAATTTTCCAAAGGCTTTACACGGTAGCTGAACAGAGGCCGTTTACAGTCAGATATCGTAATAATATCCGTCAGATATTGCAATATTCTTATTGGAAAGTAGGTTAATAAGTTATTCTTATTGTATAATAAGTTATTCTTATTCGAAAGTAGGTTTCTTTTAAAGAAATAATATCGTGATAGTCACCATTAGTTTATCCACGATTGTTTTACATTTGTTACATCCTTACTGCAATCGCATTCTTCAGAAATTAAAATACTCTTATAATTTTCCTCTCTCGATTTTCAGTTGATAAAATTAGTTAAAAAGAGGCAAAAAATACGCGAGGAAATAACGGTATTATGCAGCATGTCCGTAAAAGTCTTCACTCAACATTTATTTTCGCAGCCATAGTCATATATACACCAATTATAAAAATGTTTTAAATGACACAAATTTTCATATTTTGGCACTTTTAAATTAAAAAATTGCAATTATGTGCAGAAGTACGAAATATAACATTTTATCGATCTCCGGCCCCTATACTTATGTTTAGAAAAATTTTGCACTCATTATAAAAAATAAAATACAAAAGTTCTGTACCACAAATATTGACCGATATAATTCATTTTAAAGTTGGGGATCATGTTCAGGGACCGTACACAAATTGAAGAGCGAAATATTTGCATTTGTATGTAACTAAAAACAAAATATCAGTTTAGGAAAATGTTCTGGTATTAATAGGTTAAGTGTTGAATGTTTCTATGCAGATTGTCGTAAAAATTCCTGATCAGTATTGATGTTTTCGTAAAGGAGACCTTATTCAGAGAATTTTATAGAATTATTCACGTGTTCTAGAAAACACTGACAAGCATCTGTTTGGCACATAGCCAACTCGTAACATTATTTATATAAATTAAAAGTATTGAAAGCATTTATAGTTTAGTAAATTTTTTTCTGATAATTAGATTAGGATTTTAAAGTGATAAAACTTCTGTGAATATTAATATTTTTGTCATCTAAAAACTTATGAAAATTCTTTTCGCATACCAGTTGTGGCAAAATAAAAGGAAAGAATGTTACACATTAGTAAATTGCACAGATATATCATTAAATTATCTTAAATGGAAATAAAAACAACCTCGATTTATCATAATTTATTTTTCAACCAAGAGGCGGGCGATAATCCCATTTTCTGGCATTATAAAATATGTAAAAACAGCAAACTTTAAAATAAAATATCTCTGTCATTTTTTATCGTAGGAAGGCAAACGTTTTTAGTTTTATTTCTTAGAATGAGTATAAAATTTCAGTAGAGTTTTATTTCAAATACTGAGTTAGTATTTTTGTATGTTAACAGTTCGCTTAAACTTTGCGAGTAAAGTAAAAAAGTCAACCAAACATTTGGACCGGATATCTTCATCAATTTATACTCCACATATAAATAAAAATGTACAGATAAATTTGAATAGGGTAGTAAATATAAAAAAAGTGCGACAACACTTATCACGCTGTAAAGGTGAATACTGATCAACTGACTGTGTCCATGGAACAAATATTTTTTTCCCGACTTTTTTAATATAAGATGATTAATTGTAAACATTAGTCCACCAGCGGACGAACGGACGAGACGTCTAAATACTAGTTTCATCAGGGTTCAAATTCCGCGAATTGGCTGGCTGCATGGATATTTTCTCAAGAGTAACGAGAATAAAAGCAAGAATCTATCAGAAAATACTTCACGAAGGCGCTTTTTCCCTAGGGTCGACAGTTTTTGCGAGCTTCCCCATAATCTAATGAACACAAACCCCGTAAATATTGATTATTTAATGGCAATGTGTTTCATCCGCTTCAGTCATATTGGAAATAAAAAAACAATTCCATAATTTTAAATAAAATATCTGAACAATGCGGTATTATTGAAGTCGATTGTAGAAACATGCTTTATTCGTATTAACTCTAAATTAAAATTTTTATATTGTGTAAGACAGGTGTTGTTTTCGAGGCTGCTGCACAATCTATTTAAATTATAAGGAAACGCATTAAAGAATAATTGCTTATGCATTCATTTGTTTTTAAATTAAAAGCAGTACTAATTTAAGCAACGAAAACCTATAATTTCTTTGCATCAGAACAATCCCTTTTTTAATTTTCGTGTTTGCTGTCTGAAATTGTTCGCACAATTTACAGACTTTGTTCGTAATTGCAATTTGTTTTAAGCGAACACCGATGATTATTTTCTGGGAGTAATCCCATCACAAGAAATTGAATTTCCCAACAAATGAAATTAGAGGCACACCTACGTAGATTAAATTTGTACATACGAATTCTGATGGCATTCGCGTTAACAGGTTCGATGAACTAGGAAGCGACCGCGTTTTATAAGAAAAATTCAACAGCATATACCTAAGAGTGGTTTTAAGGTAGCGATTCGTAATATTTTACAGTTGAATGACGCCTTTAAAACAAGAAGCTGCAACGCAGCAGTTTTGAATAATAATCGAAATTATTTCGTCGCGTATTTTGCCGCATAAGATTTGTGTACTTTCTGTACAGAACCGCATAGGATTTCTGTACTTCCGGCAGTTTCTGTACTTTTTTTTTTTTTTAATTTCGGGCAATTTTCCCTTTCCTCAATGTGTTCAGCAAACGAGCTGTCCTACATTTTAAAATGGATTCCTCCATGTAGTGATTGTTTTCATCTCGCAAACTACTTGCGAAGGTCACGCAGAACCTTTCACTTCTAACGGCAACCTGGCCCCCTAACTGCTGAACTTACGGTAGCCTGATGCAAGAACGAACCGATCACAAGGAAGTAAACATGAACTGACATTCAGTTTATGATTTCTCCGAATCACCTTCTCTAATTATTTATGGTCGATCTGAGGAATAAGGAGTAGCAGTGGCAGCAATAAGAAAGGACGAGATTCATGTTTCAGGGAAGTAGAAAGGAAGATATCTTATCACATATGTTATAATGTTAATGTTATTGCGCATTCTTACCGGAATATCACTTTCTTTTGAGGAAACAATATTGTGATAGTTACTTGCAGTTTATTCCTAACTGCTTTACCTTTGTTCATGTAACATGCAACTTCTTGCGGTAATCGCGTCCTTTATAAATTCAATTAATCACATAATTTCCCTCTCTCGATTTTCGGACAATGAAATTAGTGAAAAAAAAAGGGGGGGAAACTGAGCTAGGAAATACGATATTATTAATGAGTACCAGTATATTATATAAATGATTAATGTGAATTCTATGCTTATTCCATCAGGAACTCCTTTACATTTCGTCTAAAGACTTGATCTTAACGACTTATAGACAAACACGCAAATACCTCGATGGTCTGCTTCTTGTGTTAGTTTCTCTGTAATTTAAGTACCCTGTTTCTATGTTTATTTTCTCTATAAATTCATTTCTATTTTGTTTCTATACAATCACATATTTCATTATTTTCTCAGGTCAGGTCCCCTCTTCCGTCTGCCTCCGATTGCAACTTCCTGTGGTGGTCCGAATCAAGATCTTTCTCTAGGAAACATTAGACCACTATAATAAGTATGCACAACTGCATTACATGTAAGTATTTTCAGTAATCATGCATCGTATCATTAATTTTCTGAACCGCTAACGGTAACATTCCTGGTATAAGTGGTATCATGCTGAATATTTGGATTCCCCCTGCGTCGGATTGATGGTTAGAGACAAGTGAACCGACATCTCTCCTCCAGCTTAATTATCACTTAGCTGTTATTTCCATTTTCTTGGGCTAAGTTTTTAGCAGCTTGATGGGTATACTGTATTAAATGAAACTTCCCTTAACTTAAAGCTATGAATATGTCATTCTAAATTAGTGTGCGTATGTGTGTGAATTTTATAGTATGATTATTTGATATAATTAATAGCTTAGGTTACTTTTGAACGGAGGTTATCATTTCATTTGACGAATTTTTGTCTGCTATTACAGCATTCAATTGTTTTATATTAAAAAAGGGATTAGTTATTTTTAAACCTTATGCATGTTTTTAAGAAGTTGCATGTTTGTTTTCCAAATGGCTGAATACTTGAAACTTAACGCATTCGTCAGAAATGGCTAGACTCAGCGGTGATGAGTTCTCTCATCATCGAGAACACTGCTCAGTGTACGCCAGAGACAACGACCGAATTACATACGCGAAAAATGAGACTCTACCACCCCAGTTTTTCTGAACAGCACCCCAGAGGACGTACTCGAGAATCTCCAGCCCTCTTCCACCTACCAATAACATCTCGAAAAGACTTCTGACTCGACAGCACCTTAAGTACCTCTATGCCACTGAGACACGATACAGTTAAAACATCCATACCTTCTCCGAGATTCGAAGCCGGGATCAAGCAGTGTTAGCCGATTCTTCTACCACAGCTTCAAAAAATCCTAAATAATGATTATATGGTTAGAATTTCTTTAATTATGTCATTCATATATGTTGTAATTATACGTTGTCAACATGCAGAGACTATAGACATAAAATTATTTAGTTGAAATTTCTTCACTTTGAAAACATTGTAAATTAGTTTTAATCGTAAATTAGAATTCACTTTTAATTTTGTTCTGTATTTATGTTTCATATATAACATGGAAGAAAATTCTTGTTCACACAAAAAGGTTGTGCAAAAATGCAACAAAAATTTAATAGCTTTATTGCCTTTAAATTCTTTTTTTTTTTCGGATCAGCCAAAAGTTAACAAATGTATTATTTTTCAAATCTTCAATTACAGTTCGATCACGGGAAATTTCTATGAATTATTCTTTTCCTTCACGAGATTTTTTAATTTGATAATTAAAACTACTTTTTTTTTTTTTTTTCATACCACTTATTTTTCTCCTACGTACCACAGGTTGAGAATCGTTGCTCTAAGCCATTTTAATTGACGAACACAGTGTTCGCTTTATTGTAAAGCGAAGACGGATGAAACGGGAAAAAGAGAATCGGCAGGGGGAAGGCAGCGGATGAAATTTCACTATTTCGATCTAGGGATGAAACGGAAAAGGACGAAACACCACTATAAGCCCTAGTCGCTCTCAACTAACCACTTAACGTCATCAAACTCGAACAGCGAACAAGTGACACTACGGTTGCCTTCAATTTCGAACGCTAAAATTTCTACTTCCATGAGCAGCACAAATAAACAAATGCCTCATTTTGCACCCTGCTAAGTCTTTCTGCTAGCAGGCCGAAAAATCAAGCGTAGGTATGAAGAAAAGGCATATAGATAAAAGGCAGTTTGGTTTGGGAAGAAACATAAATTCTTATCATATGATACGAAATTTTTAAATCCAGATCAAAATAAAAACTCAGACTATATTTAAAACAATTTCAGTTTGTCTTAGAAAGGAAACATTCATTCACTCCACTACATATAGATTGTAGTTAATCAATCTAACTTTTAAACTATTCTTCGCGAGCTCTTAATTTGTATAATCTGCTCTGAGCTAATATATGTGACATGAACCAAAGAGAAGACAGGACAGTATTTAAACTGAGCTGAACTGTTAGGAAAACTTTAAAATAATATCAACGGATTCGAATGACGAAAGAATCCCCCCCCCTTTTTTTTTTTTTTTTTTTTTTTTTTTAACCTCAAGATTCATGGGATTCGAATACTTCATTTCTAATTGTTAATATTAAGGAAATCTTTTATAACGCCCTTTTATGCTGCAGAAACAGAACAAAGGAGCTCGAAAGCTCTACTAAAAAAACAGTACGTGCCTTAAGAATTGTTTTTTCACCATTATTGCTTGTCGCAGCGGAGCATTCGCGAGACCTCCTTGGCGAGATTACAGCAACCCTCACTTTCCCATCCCGCCTTCCCGAACAACTTTATCTAGCGCCTTGACCTTGCTCGGCACCACAGCGGATGATAACAGTATTCTCGACCCACCGCACGCACTCACGGCTTCTTCTCAAAATCACTTTATTAACTCGCCGGATTGCAATCCCGCAGTTCATCATTCGTTCATCAATTCTGACTCGATTACACCCAAGACAGAAAGCTAATTCCGGCGTCGTTGTTTTAAAATGACAGATACTTAGGCCATATCCGTTCCATGAATCGGATTTAATTTTATTCGCGAAGGAAAGAAAAGAATAAGCACGATGGAGAAGTTTCGTTTTTACGCATTTTTAAATACTCGCATAAATTATATTTACACTTTTTTCAATCCTAACTGCCTAAAATAAATACCACAAGAAAGAAAAAAAATATATAATGATTTTAATGAATCCAGCTAGGGCCATTCATTAACATATTTTATATTTCTAATTATATTTCTAATTGGGAAAGGCCCACTAGCAACCGAGCAGTAAAGTCGCTGAACACTGGTAGTTCAGTCCGAGGTTCGAATCCCGTGAACGGGCTGGCTGCATGGGCATTTTCGTGGTTTTTCCCATGTGCAACGTGTAGTATACAAGCCAGCTTCCCTTAGAAATTCCTCCACGAAGGCCACCCTTCCCTTATCTACATAGCCCTCGAAGCTTTGCCGTAATGCCGTAATCACATAAACCAAACCAAACGAAACTTAAATGCGAAAAGTTTCTGAATATCAGAGCAGAAGAGTATTTTAGATTGAAAAAAAATTCCCCGTATTATGATAAAAAATAAATATGTCAACGCAGCTGAGCCAATAGACTGCAAAGGTTTGATATTTCTTTTGTGTTGCTTGTACGGTAACGGAATTCCTGCGATTATTTTTGCCGGTTTTAAGGGATTTTCTAATATTCCTTGAATATCAGACTTATCTTTACATAGTAATAAAAATTCTAAACATTTTTCTATTATTTCCAAATTTGTATAACAATTCTCAGATTATTTTCCGTATTTAAATTCTTTTAATATCGCCTTCCCGAGTTCAAAGATGTGCAGTAATTAAAATATGAATTTTGTATGTACAATATTTCCTCGCGCATTTTCCTCCTTTTTTGCTAATTTTATCGTAGGAATATCGAGAGGGTAAAATTACGCGAATAATTTAATTTCCGAAGGAAAAGTTACAGTAAAAACATAACAAATGAAAAATAATCAAGACTAAAATAAGGGTAACTATCATAATATTATTTCGTTAAAAGAAACCTACATTTCATTAAGAATACGCAGTAATATTAACATTATGATATCTAATAAAATATTTTCATTTCTACTTCCCTGTAATTTTAATTCACGCTTTCTTGTTGTTGCCTCTGCTACTCGTTAGACCTCAAATCATCCATAAATAATTAGAGAAGGTGAATGTGCAACTGACTCGCAGAAGCCGAAACTGACGAATATCAGGTTGTGCTTGCTTCGCTGGGATGGGTCGGTTGTTGTATTAGACTGACATGTAGCTCAAAGGTTAGATGATAAAAGTTCAGCATGACCTTCGCAGGTAGTTTGAGAGGATTCGTCTTTGTAAATAAGAGGAAAGCAACCACTACGTAAACGAATCCATTTTTAAAATTTAGGGGTGTTCCTTCTTGTAAATGCATTGAGGAAGCGGAAAATTACTTTTTTAATTTTTAATACTTTTTTAACTATTTTAAAAATACTAAAATTATACTATTTTAAAAATACTTTTTTAATTTTTAGAACCTGGTGATAAAAAGCCAAAGGGGAAAATACTCTAGGATGAACTGCATGAAAATATATTTTTAAAGAATTTCCTAGTGAAGGTTTACTTGATTTCTGAAACACGAAAATTTCGTTTTCTTAAGCTACAGAAAGATAGCTATCAGTTGTCTGTCAGAACCTCCAAAAAGTATCGATAACTTTAGAAAAGTTTTTAATTTTTTAACTTTAGAAAAGTTTTCAATTTTTTAACTTTAGAAAAGCAAATGTAGTGCGACGAGCATTTTATTTAAAAATTAAATATGCATATATACAATATAGTGCATGAAAAAGCAGCGCAGTTAAATAGAAATCATACATTTTGTGGTGCACATTTTGCGAAGAGCTCTTGAGGCAACTCTTTATAAGGTGGGCTCTGGAAAACTGAGGGTAAAAAACAAAAAGGGAAGATGAGAAGGATGAAGTATAACTTCGGATGATAGTGTTTATACACTGAATTGTGACCGCAGATGAAATTGAATTGTGACCGTAGGTGAAACATAAATCCATCATTATGATCCAAAATGTTTGTAGCTGTGATGCCAAATAGACTTCTGAGAAAAAAAGGCATTATATCATTTCGAAATAAATAATAATAACAATAATAAAAGGCAAGCAAAGTTACATTTCTTATCGTTCCAGATCTATGAGGAAGGAACACTCATTGCATACCTGGATCAGTGTCAGACACTCATATCACTTTCAGATCGATTACATGGAGCTTTAAGTAAATAGAAAGGAAGGGAAAGCTTAATTTCTTTTTCCCAGAGGTATCAAGTTTTTGCGAGACATGCCTCCAATTACAAGAGAGGGATCACTCTACAGAAATTACTCTGTTCGAGCAATATCCTTTTTGTCCGCTAAAACGAGCCCCCCTCTGGCTATTGTTTTTTGCAGAATAAAAAACTGAACATATGAGACCAACCTTTTCATGATTATGAAGTTTAGCTAGTATAGTA